TTTTATTCTCTGGCTGGTTTGTAATTCAGGGCTACACTGCTCTGCAGTAGTAGGTCTGACAGGGTGTATTTCTGTGTCCTGGCTAGATGGCTCCACTATTTCTGCCCTGTCGAGCCCCTCAGAGTTACAGGGCTGCCGGCACCTCTGCCCCTCTCGGCTCTGCAAGTGCCAGATGTCAGGCCTCCGACCCAGCCCCATCGTGGGCTGGAATGGCACAATCCACCCACCCTGAGCCCGGGCTCTGCCCTACAGCGCACTGCGGGTTGACTGGGCTTCCCAGCACGTCCAAAAGGGTTCAGCACCTCTGGTTCCTCCGTTTGAGAGCCTGCTGGGAGTAGTGGGGAGACGTGACCAGCCAGGCTTCTGGAACCTAAATACTGAGCAATCCGAACAGCAGAAATCAAGCGAAACATGGGAGAACAGGAGGGTTTTCAAACAACAGTCAGGCCAGGTCTCCGCTCCCAGACCATCCCACTCTGAGAGGGACCCAGGCAGGCCCAGGGCCTTCAGACTTCCCCAGCCATGTCTGTGCCTGTCAGTCTGAAGAGTTTCTCCGCAACAGCTGCCCTGCCTGTTGACAAACCCCCAGCGCTGGCAGAACAAGCTGGGTAACGTGGCTGGAGCCCAGAAATAGGCTTTTTCATTGGTTGGAGGAGACAAGTACCGGCCGCTCCACCAGGGTTTGCCCCTGGCGGGCCCTCTCCCCTATATTTACCTGCTCAGCCGCAGGTACTGGCGATTGCAGCTCCTGTTGGATGTGGATCTCTGTTTCCGGCCAATGAGACATACCGAAAACGGTGTCCCGGCCTGTGACATTTCCTGCCGCTCTCCTTGTCCAGAACGGTGATGCACATCCAGCGGGAGCTGTGATCCCCCAAACCTGTGTCTTTGGAGCTAACTCTAGTGACTCACCGCTGTGTTATTACCTGCCCTAGGTTGTACCTCCTCTGTCAACTTTCACTCTCCCTAAGAACTCCCCTGAGCGATGGCTTTTGTTCTCCCTTCCCGCTTACATCCCAGTAGCCTGCTATTAATTAAGAGAAGCCAGATTGGTTTAACCCATACAGACATAACATAAACATCCCAATAATGGATTCAATATAGTCGTACCGCAAACATCCCCAGGCATGGATTGAAGAGACATGTTCTTTAAGTTACCTCTCTGGATTCAGGCTACGGATTGATAGAACCAGTCAGCTGGGGAGAACCGGCCAGCTGTTAACCTCGGGAGCGGAACAACTAGATGTCTATTTGCCAACAAATGGCAGCATGAGCACTGAGATCTTGGAATCTCATCACCTAGGAGTGAAGATGGAAAGATTTGGGTTTGCTTAGACTGTAAAAAAGCAGACTCTGAGGGGACGTGATAACAGCATTCAAGTACCTAAAAGGTGGATACAAAGAGGAGGGAAACAAAACATTGTCTATAATCTGACGATAGGACACAAAGCAATGGGCTTAAATTGCAACATAGGAGGTTTAGTTTGGACAATAAGAAAACTTCCTAACAATCAGGGTAGTTAAGTACTGGAATAAATTGCCCAGGGAGGTTGTGGAATCTCCGTCATTGGAGATTTTAAAGAACAATTTACAATAAAACCTGAAAGGGAAGGTCTAAAATCATGTTTGTCTTGATATTATGAGTGTAAGAGACAGGGTTTGGTGATGTCTCACGATTCCTTCCAGGTCTATGATTCTATGATGTTGTCATGTTCTGTAGAAATCTAGATGTCAGAAGCTACATTGTTAGATCCACTCTAACCTGAGAAATCTTCCCTGTCCGAGGGGAAAGAATGGCTGGATATGTGTGTACCAAGGTATTGGTGGGCAAAAGTTATGCCAAAGCTTTTCACTGTATTACAAATACTATAAATCAATCTTTCATTCCATGCTTGTATATTGAAAGCCATCAGCAGAGCTGTTGGATTCTCCAAAGGAAGGAGCAGAGGTAACTTTATATTTAATGCCTTTGGCTTTCAAAACTATTTCAGAAGTACCCAGATACTGCTTGCAGCGGGTTTGTGCTATTAACTCCTTGTTCAGCACACTGTTGTATGACACTGTCTCCTGGTATCATATATTCATGGGTGTGACCATATCTCTAGACTATATGGCTCCATCGATGGAGCCATGTAGATTTGTTTATTGGGAAAAGGAAAATGAAGCGGCGATTTAAATAATCTATTTACGGAAGAGTTCGTGCACAAAAAGTCTTCCACAAGAGTGTGTCTACACTGCCATGTGTTTTTGCACAAGAAATGTGCTTTTCCGCAAGAGCATCAATGGCAGTGTAGACGCTCTCTTGCCAAGAAAGCTCTGATGGCCATTTTAACCATAGGGGCTTCTTGCGCAAGAAATTCATGTTGCCTGTCTACACTGGCCTCTTCTGGAAGAGCTCTTGAGCAAGAGGGCGTCTTCCTGAGAGGGAGAGTCAGAATTCTCATGCAAGAAGCCCTGATTTTCTACAGTACATCAGTTTACTTGTGCAAGAATGCACGGCCAGTGTAGACAGGTGTCATGTTTTTGTGCAAGAGCTGCACCAGTGTAGACACAGCCTAGCAGTAATGCAAGTGCCTGCAGGGATTTTACCCTGGAAAAAGTTAGCTTTGGCAGGAGTAGCATAATTAAAGGTTAATCATATAGTGTCATTATAATTATTTTCTGTCTTGTTATCTATCCCTTTCCTAATGGCTCCTAACATTGTTAACTTTTTTTGACTGCTGCTATGCATTCAGAGAACTATTTACAATGACTCCATGGTCTCTTTCTAGAGTGGTAACAGCTAATTTAGACCCCATTGTATAGGTCAAGATGGGATGTTTTCCAATGTACATTACTTTGCAATTATCGACATTGCATTTCATTTGCCATTTCGTTGCCCAGTTGCCCAGATTAGAGAGACCCTTAGTAATGCTTTGCAGTCAGCTTTGAACTTAATTATCTTGAGTAGGGCTGCCAAATATCTAATGGCACAAACCCAAACCCCCAGCTCTGTTTTCCACCCCCCTTCCAGCCAGCCCTGCCCCCTTCCCCTCCCTCCATGGTGCGCTGTGGTGCTCCCAGATGAACAGTGCTCCGGCCGGGCCCACCTGAGCAGCACTCCCGCCGGCCCCAGCTGGGGAGCAAGCGGCGGCAAGTGGCCCTTTGGGGAGAGAGAGACAGAGCGAGAGAGCTCAGGAGAGAGGCTAATTGGCTAGTATATATATAAAATTCTGTGTATGGATTTTAGAAGTTGTGAAAGGGTTTGTCGTGATATCTTCACTTGGGCCAGAACACTCGTAACAGCCAGCCTAGTGTGATTAGATGTGAGTCAATACCTCGTGAGATCTAAAAAGATCTAAATATGCAAGACCCAGCCAAACTGGCTTCCTGACCAAGGAACCAGAAGGCATTATAATACTTGACTACAAGTTCCTTTTTCCCACTTCAGGAAACTGATCCAAAAGGGCATCAAGTTATTTTTTTCATGCATATTAAAGGATGCCCCAATTTAATCAGCCAATCAAATATGTGTACCCTCAAGTTTTCAGGTGAGGAAATCTGTTTTTGGCTTAAAGGGATTAGCAAAAGATGATGCAAAGGGGACCCATAAAAACCTATGGAAGTAATTGTCTGACAGGATTTTACTTCCTCACTAAGAACATTGGGTGTGTCTAGACTACAGGATTTTGTCGACAAAAGTGGACTTTTGTCGACAAAACTATACCTGCGTCCACACTGCCTTAGAGTTATGTCAACATAACGTCGACAAAACTTAGCAGTTTTGTCGACGTATGTAAACCTCATTCTACGAGGAATTCTGTCGATAAAAGCATTATTGCATCTACACTGTCCTTTGCGTCCACACTGTGATGTCAACAAAGTGGCTTGCTTTTTGACAGAACTGGCTGTAGTCTAGACACTCTTTGTCGACAGAAGCTTTGTCGACAGCATCTGTTGACAAAACTTCTGTCGACAAAACCCTGTAGTCTAGACGTACCCTTTATGTCTACCTCAAACCCTTTCCTTCCTTATTCTTTCTGAGGCTAAATCTATACTATAGGGGTGTTTTTTTCGGAAAAAGCTACGCAAATTTTGCTCTGCAATTTGTGTATCTTTTTCAGATTGCTTTTCCGGAAGAGGCTTTTCCGCCAGTTGGCCCTGTCTAGATGGGGCCAAATGACAGAAAAGCCTCCACTTTTGGAGGAGCCCTTATTCCTCCTAAAAGCATGTCTGCTCTTCCGCGAAAAAAAGCAGAAGAGCCAACATGTTCCCTGGACGCAGCAGGGTTTTTCCAGGATAACTCTGGTATCCCGAAAACTCCCACAGTGTAGACATAGCCTGGGTTTCTCTACTGTTGTACTCTGTAATAGTTCTTCACCATTCACTGAGATCCACGTTCCACCAGTGGAGACAGGCTGGTCCTCCACGATTTGGTTCTCCAGGATGGTGTACGTGAGGATCATGCTATACTAGGTAATTGTAGCGGTATACTTAGACCAATTACAATTCTATAATCAGGGTTCTTTTATGCTACCCTCCAGAGTTCTTGAATCCATTTGTGTGATCCTTGGTGTATGGTTTGTATTGTTTGCAATCTTAATACCAATCATCATAAAAATCATTTGAATTTGGCAACACTCTCGGTTTAAGTGTGACTGCTGCAAGCTCCCAGACCCACCTCTAGAAATAGAGCTACAAAGCTCCCAATCTCTGTGACCAGGGTAGGAGGACAAACCTAGAATATTCTAGTCAGATTAGGCTCGTACCCATATCAATTGCCATATTCTTAACCCCTGGCAAGGATACTGCAACACAGGGACTACAGATCTGATCCAGTCTGGCAATGCCTATCTTCCTAAATCCAAGACTATGTCTTTAGTACTCTTCCGTGAGACCCTGGGAGCTCCTACACTTGTGTGGAGAACAGAATCATGTCTCATTAAATATCATGTAATATCCTGTTATTTCTCCTTTTAGGGAAAAAAACCATAACACTGATTGGACCAACCCAATTCATCATGTCAGCTGTCAATGACAGCAAATCCACACATTCCGTGTTCCTTCTCACCGGGATATCGGGGCAGGAAGACGTCCATCTCTGGATCGCGATCCCCTTCTGTTTAGTGTATGCTATTTTGATACTGGGCAATTCAGTCATTCTGTTTATTATAAAAACAGACCCAAGCCTCCATGAGCCCATGTACATTTTCCTTTCCATGTTGGCCCTCACGGACCTTGGCTTATCCACAGCCACCATGCCGACAATACTGGGTGTTTTATTGTTTAATACTAGGGAGATCAGCCTCAATGCCTGTTTCACCCAGCTCTTCTTCATCCATTTTACTCAAACCACTGAATCGTCTGTGCTCCTGTTGATGGCCCTTGACCGCTTTGTTGCTATTAGTAACCCACTGAGATACACGTCAATCTTAACCCTGCCGAGAATAGCCAAGATGGGACTGCTGTGTGTGCTAAGAGGGGTAGCCTTTATACTCCCGTTCCCGCTTCTCCTGGAACGGTACCGATACTGTCGAGACAATGTCCTCTCCCATTCCTACTGCCTGCACCAGGAAGTCATGAAGCTGGCTTGTGCGGACATCACAGTCAACAGCATCTATGGCTTGACTGGTTCACTTTTAGTAATGGGCTTAGACGCCCTCCTGATCTTCCTCTCTTATGTGATGATCCTCAAAACAGTGCTGAGCGTTGCATCCCGGGCGGAGTGTCTCAAAGCCCTGAACACCTGCGTCTCCCACCTCTGCATTGTCCTGCTCTTCTACACACCAGAGATCAGCTTGACTGTGATACACAGATTTTGGAACAACTCCTCTCACTTGCTTGAGATAATCCTGGGCTACGTCTACCTGCTGGTCCCTCCCCTGATGAACCCAGTGGTGTACAGCGTGAAAAGCAAACACCTCCGTGAGAGGTTAATCCGGCTATTTGTCAAGTGAAGGGGCAGTTTATCATCAATTGTGTGGAGCCAGCAGAAAAAATCCACAGGGTGTGGCTATTTGTTCTATCCTGGATCCTTACTGCCAAGAAGAGAGGAGGCCCTCACGTCCACTCTCCTGTGTTTGTGGAGGACTAGGGCACTGGTAGGATGTTGTCCCATAAAGACTTGCATGCGTGGCTGCTCTAATGTCAGATTTCCTGTAGCTACAGTCAATAAAGAGAAGGGCTGTGGCTGTTGTTTCCCATGACCCCTGGGCTGTCTCTGGCTTGTCTGTTGTATAACCGGCAATGAAAACAGCGGCAGAGTGGCTATTCAGTCAACGTTCTGGTCCCTCCTGAATACTCTGGGTTCTGTGTGATCCAGAGCTGCTGTGCCAAGTATAAACAGACGTTGTAAAAGGGGCCCAGACACCCACCCTCCCCCTGCACTCCCAGCCAGGGGCTATCGACGGGGTCATGCCAGGGACAGAGTTATCACAGGAGCCCCCAGGCCAGCCAGTCAGGAAGCCCCCACCTGGCACGGATGTCTCTGCACATCACACCCCTGCAGAGCCCACCCCACTGAGGCAGGGCAGAGCTGTGTGTGTGGGCAGGGGCCTGGCACGCAGGAATCCTTGGAAGAGATTCAGGCCCCCTCCATTTGTGCTGCCCCAGCTGCTTGCAAAAGGGTGGAAATAGGAATCTGCTGCCCCACACTAGCATGGCGAGCTCCTGCCCCCATCCTAGCCCAGCCCAGCCTTTCCCGTGTAGGGGGAACCTCTTTTCAAAAGGTAAAAGCAGAGCACAGGCAGGCACCACGGCCCCATTCTCATTCTGCACCGGCTTGTCGTCTTCCCCCGAGGCACCTCCCTCTGCTGCTTCTCTCCCCGCATCTCCCCTCACCCTTCCTGTTGACCTGAGGCTCTGCCCCTTCCCCAGGCAGGCCAGAGCTGGGCCATGGTAAGAGCTGCCCTGGGACCCAATTACTGTGAGGAGCCCCAGACCCTCCTCCTGTCCTGGGCAGATGGCTGGGGGAGGAGGGGAGTCAAGGAGCAGCTGCAGCGTGTGTCCCTGCAGCCCTAGAACATACTCTTAGGGAATTTGCAGAGTCTGGGGCTCCTCTCATCAGCCTGGGCTCCCGGGGTAGCTCTTATCACAGCCCAGCTCTGCCCTACCTGGGGGGAGGGCCTCAGGCAGGGGTTACAACAGGCCTGAGCCTGTGCTCCCCACAGCAAGCAGGGGAGGGGCTCCTGCCAGAGGGAGGAGGATGGGTCCGACGGGCAGCAGGATGCGGGCTCTACAGAATACTGAGCTAATGTGCCCCCCTAAAGGGACTTTTGTTTTAAGTGTCTCAGTTGAGCATCAGGCATGGCAAGGACCCATGGCAGGGCTCCTACAGGGCTACCTCAGGCCCCATGGGGACACACCACTGTGACCACTGTCCTCAGTCTGTGGTATTGGAAGCCGTTACCAACAGCCCAGGCTGCTCTACACTCCACTGAGGCAGGGAAGATCAGGCCTACAGGTCATTGTCTTCTGGACATCTGGTCCACACAGAACGGGCATCTCCCATCTCTTGCCTCTTCACATCCCCTGCACATCTCCACTCACAGAAAGACTGGGAAATGGTACCCAAGACCACAGGGCCGGCCTTACCATGAGGTGAACTGAGGCGGCCGCCTCAGGCGCCAGACTGTGGGGAGGCGCCACTGGGACCCAGAGTGTAGAAAATTGTGTCTGCTGCTGGTGCATCTGTATTCTCTCTGCTCTAGATGCACAGAGATGGGGGGTGCTGTGCTGGGGGAAGGAGGGCACAAGAGACAGAACAGGCAGGCAGGAGAAAAGGGGGCATCGTGGCGTCATTTGAGCTCCCTGCCTCAGGTGCCAAAACGTTGTGGGCCGGCCCTGCAAGACCACCCTTCTTCACAGAGCAATGGTTTCTGGTAGAGCAAGAAAGTGCAAATAAAACAATTCCAAATGATTAATTTTAAAAAACCCAACACACTTACAAAAATGAATACAAATATGGCCACTTCAAATGATTATTCTTTAAAACAATTTTCACAGGGAGCTCTTCGGGACTTCACCCGATTGCCCTATTTTACTTGAACTGCAGCATCACACTGGGATTTCATGTTCAGCTGATGATCCACTATATCTCCCAAGAGTGTTTCAGACTCACTGCTTCCCAGGATTGGGTCCCACATCTGGTGAGGGTGGCCAGCACCTTTACATTGTGCCATATTCAAACACATGTTATGGAGGCACTGATGGACTAAGAGAGTTGCCCAAGGTCACAGAAGTGAACTGTGGCAGAATCTGGAACTGGCACCTGTTCTTCCAAGTCCCAGGCCACCAGATTAATCCCTGAACCCTCCAGCCTACCTGGGGCCAGTGACTAGGAGCGGGCAGCCGGCAGCTCAGCAGGCTGAGATTGGCAGAAACTCCGGGAATGACACTCCTGTGAGATCACTAAACAGGAGCCCAAAAAGAATTCAGTTACAGACGATAACACTGAGTCCTGCCTTCTCCTGGATCTGCAGAGTGACAGAGCTGTTCCCAAATATGGGTAGAATCATGCACATCCCCTGTGATTTGACCTCCTGCCATTTGCCGTGAGAGGGTTAAAGCTGGTGCACAGAAAGCCAAACAGATGAGGTTCCCTGATGGCTAAGCGGCCCCTAAGGAAAAGTGCCTGCATGTTGTATAAAGGCAGCTGCTTCCCAGTCTGAACACACACTGCCTGCTGCCCCTGCAACCTCTCCGATGACTCCTTGTCATTTATGGTGAAGACTTTTGGTCTTAGCAGCTCCCCTGGTAGCAGGAACTGGGTACGTTGGCAGGTCTCACTGTCTTTGAAAGGAGCCCTGAACGGAGAAGGCTGGGAGCGGTTGGCATTTGCTGATGTTCTGTGCAGCGGCAGAGGACTCGGCTGGGATGTGGGGTGATGCAGGGACAGGGCTGGAGGGCAGTGCTAGGTGGGGTGGAAACCTGTATCTTAGCCCATGCGCTAGGGTGGGTGGGTCAAGCGTCACAAAACTCTCACATTCACAGCGAGCTCCAAGCGCTAACACCCAAATGCGCTGAGTCAGGATGTCTCAGGGGGTTGTATTTCAAGAGGTGCCATGAGCTCTGGGCTCCAACCCGTCGGGGGCTGGCTGAGAGGAGACCCCATGGAGCCCAGAGCACATGGAACCTCACGGAGCCCCGCTTGGAACTTCAGCACTGACTCCCTAATCCCCTCAGGCGAATTTGCTCCCACAACTGTAACCCGCAAAGGCCTTTACCGGGATTTTATTCTCTGGCTGGTTTTTAATTCAGGGCTTCACTGCTCTGCAGTAGTACATCTGACAGGGCATATTTCTGTGTCCTGGCTAGATGGCTCCACTTCTTCTGCCCTGTCGAGCCCCTCAGAGTTACAGAGCTGCCAGCACCTCTTCCCCTCTCTGCTCTGCAAGTGCCAGATGTCAGGTCTCCGACCCAGCCCCGTCATGGGCTGGAATCGCACAATCCACCCACACACAGACTGGGCTCTGGACTACCGCACACTGCAGGTCGACTGGGCTTCCTAGCATGTCCAAAAGGGCCCAGCACCTGTTTTTCCTCCGTTTGAGAGCCTGCTGGGTGTTATGTCGTGGGGAGTTTCACAGTATAGGAAGAAATCAGTGGAAATACAGAGAGCTGGAACAGTTGCCAGTGTCCATTTTATTGCATAGCACAGAACTAACTAGAACAAGCCCAAACCAGCTGGGATGACCCGAGTGACCTAACTGTGATCACCCATACCAGGAGCTGTGCAGGGAAATATAGCAGTGGTAGCATGCCCGGGTCTCACCCTTGCAAACCATTGTCTCTATTATAGCTCCCCCGTTGACTGTCAGGCTGTGTCTAGACTACACCTCTCCATTGACAGAGAGATTTAGATTAGGCATGTCGAAATTGTTAATGAAGTAGGGATTTAAATGGAATGTGAGAAGTAGGGATTTCGAAACGGAGCTCTTTCGAAAAAAACCCTGCAGTCTAGACAGGGATCTGTTGAAAAATAAACCCTTTTTCAAAAGATCCCGTAAACCTCATTTTTTGAGGGATAGAACCTGAGAAATCTTCCCTGTAGTTAGATCGGAGGCGAAAGAATGGGTTGATATACGCGTACCAAAGTATAGATTTGCAAAAGTTACACCAAACTTCTTCGCTGTATTACATAGACTATAAAGCAATCTTTCATGCCATGCTTGTATATTGGAAGCCATCAGCAGAGCTGTTGGATTCTCCACAGGAAGGAGCAGAGGTAACTTTATTATTCACTGCCTTTTGCTTTCAAAAGTATTTCGGAAGTACCCAAATACTGTTTGCAGCGGGTTTGTGCTACTCACTCTTTGTTCAGTGAACAATTATATGATACTGTCTCCTGGCGACTGACCAGAAGCTGTTTCTAGCAATTGGAATTGAAGCGAGCAAGGGCTGTGGAGGGTAAAAAGACATGTTTCTACAGGCATGTTAGCAAGAAGAGGGTGATCAGAGAGGGTGTGGGGCCCTTCCTGGATGAGGGAGGTAACCAAGTGACAGATGATGTGGGAAAAGATGAAGTACTCAATGCTTTCTTGGCCTTTGTCTTTACAGGCTAGGAAAGCTCCCAGACTACTACACTAGCAATACAGTATGGGAAGGGGGTGGACAGCCCTTGGTGGAGAAAGAACAGGTTAAGAACTATTTAGAAAAGGTAGACATCCACAAATCCATGGGTCCGGGTTAAATGAATCCGAGGGCACTAAGGGAGTTGGCAAATGTCATTGCAGAAACTTTGGCCATTATCTTTGTAAATTTGTAGAGATTGGGAGAGATCCCAGATGATTGGAAAGAGGCAAATGTAGTGCCCATCTTTTAAAAGGGGAAGAAGGACAATCCAGAGAACTACAGACCAGTCAGCGTTACCTCAGTCCCCGGAAAAGTCATGGAAGGGACCCACAAGAAATCAATTTTGAAGCACTTGGAAGAGGGGAAAGTGATCAGGAATAGTCAACATGGATTCACAAAGGGCAAGTCATGCCTGACCAATCGGATTAGCTTCTCTGATGAGGTAACTGGCTCTGTGAATATCAGAAAGTCAGTGGATGTGATACACCTTGACTTTAACAAAGCATTTATATACTGTCTCCCACAATATACTTGCCAGCAAGTTAAGGGAATATGGATTTGATAAGTAGACTGTAAAATGGATAGAAAGCTGGCTAGACTGTCGGGCCCAATGTGTAGTGTTCAATGGCTTGATGTCTGGTTGGCGGTCAGTTTCAACCCCAAAGATTGGTTCGAGGGCTGGTTTTGTTCAGCATCTTTATTAATGACCTGGATGAGGGGATGGACTGTATCCTCAGCAAGCTTGCAGATGACACTAAGCTAGGGGTAGAGGTAGATTCACTGGAGGGTACGGAAAGGGTCCAGAGTGACCTAGACAGATTAGAGGATTGGGCCTCAAGAAATCTGATGAAATTCAACAAGGACAAGTGTAGAGTCCTGCACTTGGGACAAAAGAATCCCAAGCATTGTTACGGGCTGGGGACTGACTGGCTAAGTAGCAGTTCGGCAGAAAAGGACCTGGGGGTAACAGTGGATGAGAAGCTGGATATGAGTCAACAGTGTGTTCTTGTAGCCAAGAATGCGAATGGCATATTAGGGTGCATTAGGAGGAGCATTGCCTGCAGATCTACAGAACTAATTATTGCCCTTTATTTGGCTCCGGTGAGGTCACATGTGGAGTGTTGTGTTGATTTAGTTGGGGTTGGTCCTGCTTTGGGCGGGGGGCTGGACTTGATGACCTCCTGAGGTCTCTTCCAGCTCTATGATTCTATGATTCATATGTGTGAACATTAACCCCCTGCGATATCCGTGCAAGGCTTTCCAACATAATCTCAGCAAACAGAACTGCTGGTGAGCATTTCAGCAAAGATTAGAGCTGGGGGGCAGGAAGGAGCAGTATCATAGTAGTTGTACATAATTTTTCCAGAACCTGTTCCACACACCTGTGGCTGAATTAATTTGCACACTCCCATGGCTGTTAGAGCAAACCTAGTGTTTTCACTATTCTATCACGTGTGATATTAACCACTCCACTGCCAAGCTGAATTAATACTCTCTGTCATCTGGAGACTTTGCAGATATCTGAAAACCCTCTCATGGAAGAGGTTTCAGGTCCTGAGAGGATGAAGAGAAGTGAGTAGAATGATGGAAATCTCTGGATTCAGTCAGCACTGGCCAACAGAAAACCTCAGATTCTCTTGCAGGGATTCTACAGGGTCAGAATGTATCACTAGGAGCATTTTATAAGGGAGCAGTAATAGAGCCTGGGTCTGATTGAATTTACACATGTAAATGTAAAGTGTTGTCACAGACGTCACTCTTAGAGAGCTGAGATCTTTCCCCTAAGAATTTATCCCATGTACTGAAGAGGATTAGTGGCATAATTTGTACTTAGATGAGTGGGAAAAGAGAAAAAAAACATATGATAAGGGAAAGCAACACGTTTATAAATGGCTTCACATCACATCAGGGAGAAAATTTGTCTGGGAGCATATTATCTGATAGGTGCATATCACCGGCCTTCTTTCACCTTACACTTCACTATATGGTACTTGCTACCGGCCACTGGGATAGAGGTTTAACAGGTATGATTCAGTCTTCCTAGTGGTGATGTAAATCCAAGACCTAGTTTATGGGGATCTTTCTTGAGATCTTGGGAGTTTCTCCATGGGCACTGAGGGAAGACTTATGTCTCATTAAGTATCATGAAATCTCCTGGTCTTGTTCTAGGAAAGAAAGGTAAACACTGATTGGACCAGCCTAGTACATCATGTCAGCCGTCAATGACAGCAAATCCACACATACCGTGTTCCTTCTCACCGGGATACCTGGGCATGAAGACGTCCATCTCTGGATCGCTGTCCCCTTCTGTTTAATGTATGTTATTCTGATACTAGGCAATTCAGTCATTCTGTTCATTATAAAAACTGATTCAAGTCTCCATGAGCCCATGTACATTTTCCTTTCCATGCTGTCCGTCATTGAGCTTGGTTTATCCATAGCCACCATGCCAACAATATTGGGCGTATTTTTCTTCAACTCTAGGGAGATCAGCCTCGATGCCTGTCTTGCCCAACTTTTCTTCATCCACTTTCTTCAGTGCACTGAATCCGCTGTGCTCCTGTTGATGGCCTTTGACCGCTTTGTTGCGATCAGTAACCCGCTGAGATACACTTCCATCCTAACCCTGCCGAGAATAGTTAAGATGGGGCTGGTTTATGTACTAAGAGGGGTGGCTGTCATACTCCCACTCCCCCTTCTTCTGAAACAGTACCGATACTGTCGAGACAATGTCCTCTCCAATTCCTACTGTGTGCACGCAGACGTCATGAAGCTGGCTTGTTCAGACATCACTGTCAACAGAATCTATGGCTTGTCTGGTTCAATTTTAATAATGGGGTTGGATTCACTATTGATCTTCCTCTCTTACGTGATGATCCTCAAAACAGTGCTGAGCATCGCGTCCCGGGCAGAGAGTCTCAAAGCCCTGAACACCTGCGTCTCCCACCTCTGTGCCGTTCTGCTCTTCTACACCCCAGAGATAATCTTGGCTGTGATACACAGATTTGGGAGTAACTCATCTCATTTGCTTCAGATAATCCTGGACTACCTCTATCTGCTGCTTCCACCTCTGTTGAACCCAATTGTGTACAGCGTGAAATGTAAACACCTTCGTGCGAGGTTAATCAGGCTATGTGTCAAGTGAAGGGTCAGTTCATCACCAGACTCCAAGTATGGTGACAAGGGAGAAAAAATCCAAAGGACGTGGTTATTTATTCCTTCCTGGATCCTGCTTCCAAGACAAGATGAGGCCCTGACCTAGAATCATAGAACCATAGAGCTGGAAGAGACCTCAGAAGGTCATCAAGTCCAGCCCCCTGCTCTAGGCAGGACCAATCCCAACTAAATCAACCCGGCCAGGGCTTTGTCAAGCCGAGACTTAAACACCTCCAGGGATGGAGACTCCACTACTTCCCTAGGTCACCCACACTCCTGTGTTTGTGGAGGACTAGGGCACTGGTAGGATGTTGTCCCATAAAGACTTGTATGAGTGGCTGCTCTAATGTCAGATTTCCGTCAATAAAGAGAAGGGCTGTGGCTGTTCTTTCCCATGACACCTGGCTTGTCTTGTCTTTATTTAACGTCCACGGGCAATGAAAACGGCAGCAGAGCGGCGATTCAGTTGAAATTCTGGTCCCTCCTGAACACTCGGGGTTCTGTGTGATCCAGGGCTGCTGTGCCAAGTATAAACAGAAGTTGTAAAAGGGGCCCAGACACCCACCCTCCCCTTGCACGCCCAGCCAGGTGTTTGCGACAGGGTATTGCCAGAGACAGGATTATCACAGGAGCCCCCGGGCCAACCATTACCCAGGCCCCAACCTGGCACTGATGTCTCTGCATATCACACCCCTGCAGAGCCCACTGAGGCAGGGCAGAGCTGTGTGTGTGGGCAGAGGCCTGGCACACAGGAGTCCTGAAGAGAGACTCGGGCCCACTCCATTTGTGCTACCCCAGCGCGTGCAAAAGGGTGGGAATAGGAATCAGCTCCCCCACACTGGCACAGTGAGCTCCTGCCCCTGATCCTAGCCCATTCACTGAACGCATGCAGACGCCACATCCCCATAGTGACTCTGCACCCTCTTGTGGTCTTCCCCCAAAACACCTCCCCTTGCTGCATCTCTCCCCTAAGCTCCCCCCACCCTTCCTGGTCACCTGAGGCTCTGCCCCCTCCCCAGGCCTGAAGCCAGAGCTGGGCCATGGTAAGAGCGGCCCTGGGAGGCAGAGTCACTGTGAGAAGCCCCAGACCCTCTTCCCCTGGGCATTTGTCTTGGGGGAGTGGGGGAGCAACCGGAGCTTCTGTGCCTGCAGTCCCAGAACATACCCTTAGGGAACTGCAGAGTCTAGGTCTCCCCTCGGCAGCCTGGGCTCCTAGGGCAGCACTTACCATAGCCCAGCACTTACCATAGCTCCAGCCTGGCCTGGGGCACGGCCTCTGGGGAAGCCGAGGATCGGGAGGCAGGGCCTCAGAGGAAGGCATGAGGCAGGCATTGCAGCAGGCCTGAGCTAGTGCTCACCACAGCAAGCAGGAGAGGGGCTCCTGCCGGAGGGAGGAGGATGGGGCCGGAGGGCAGCAGGGTGTGGGCGTTGCAAAATACTGAGCTAATGTGCCCCTCCCAAAAGGGCCTTTGTTTTAAGTGTCCCAGACTGAGAGTCGGTCATGGCAAGGGTTTAGGAGGGGAGGGCAGGGCACCTGTAGGGCTTCTACAGGCCCCATTGGGACACACCTCTGTGGCCACTGTCCTCAGGGACTTGGCAAGAACAGTCTGTGGTATTGGAAGCTGTTACCAACAGCCCAGGCTGCTCTACACTCCACCGCGGCCAGGGGAGACCAGGCCTACGAGCCATTGTCTTCCGGACATCTGGTCCAGACAGTATGGGCACCTCCCATCTCTTGCCTCTTCACATCCCCTGCACGTCCCCAGTCAGACAAGGAAAGGGAAATCATACCACAGACCAGCCTTCTTCACAAAGCAAAGGTTTTGTGCAGAGCAAAAAAGGACAAATAAAATGGTGCCGCTTTCTTAATTAAACACATTCCTGTGTACAAATAATACAAATAATGAATACAAATAATACAAACATGGCCACTTCCAATTATTCTTTAAAACAATTTTCACAGGGAGCTTTCAGGACTTCACCCGATTGCACTATTTTTTATTGAACTGCAGCATCACACTGGGATTTTGGTTTCAGCTGATGATCCGCTATCTCTCCCACGTGTGTTTCAGACTCACTGCTTCCCAGGATTGGGTCCCACATCTGGTGAGGGTGGCCAGCATCCCTTGTTCCTAGATACTCACCTTTACATTGTGCCATATTGAAACACATATTATGGTGGCACCATGGGACTAAGAGAGTTGTCCAAGGTCACAGAAATCATCTGTGGCAGAGCCTGGAATTGGTGCCACTTCTTCCAAGTCCCAGGCCACCATGTTAACTCCTGAATGCTCCTTCCTACCCGGGGCTATTGGCTGGGAAGGGGCAGCTCACAGTTCAGCTGGCTCCTTTGAGATCACTAAACAGGATCCCAAAAGGAGAATTCAGTTACAGACGATAACACTGAGTCCTGCCTTCTCCTGGATCTGCTGAGGGACAGGGCTGTTCCCAAATCCAGGTAGAATCATGCACATCCCCTGGGATTTGACCTCCTGCCATTTACCTTTGGCTGTGAGGGGGTTAAAGCTGGTGCACAGGAAACCAAGCAGATGAGGTTCCCTGATGGCCAAGTGGCCCCTGAGGAAAAGTGCCTGCTTGTTGTATAAAGGCAACTGCTTCCCAGTCTGAACACACACTGCCTGCTGCCTGTGCAACCTCTCTGGTGACTCCTTGTCATTTATGGTGAAGACCTCTGGTGCCCGCAGCTTCCCTGGTAGCAGGAACTGGGTAGGTTGGTAGGTTTCATTCTTTGAAAGGAGCCCTGAACGGAGAAGGCTGGGAGCGGTTGGCATTTGCTGATGTTCTTTGCTGTGGCAGAGGACACAGGTGGGCTGTGGGGGTGACTCAGAGACAGGGCTGGAGGGCTGGCAGCGCTAGGTGGGGTAGACACCCCCTATTAACCCAGGCTTTATGGTGGGTGGGTCAGGTTTCACAAAAATCTGACATTTCCAGCGAGCTCAGAGTGTTAAAATGAGGATGCGCTGAGTCAGGATGTCTCAGGGGGTTGCATTTCTGAGGTGCTGTGAGCTCTGGGCTTCAATCTGTCGGGGCTGTCTGAGAGGAGACCCCATGGAGCCCAGAGCACATGGAACCTCATGGAGCCCCGCTTGGAACTTCAGCACTGACTCCCCAATCCCCTCAGGCGAATTTGCTCCCACAACTGTAACCCGCAAAGGCCTTTACCGGGATTTTATTCTCTGGCTCGTTTGTAATTCAGGACTTCACTGCTCTGCAGTAGTAGGTCCGACAGGGTGTATTTCTGTGTCCTGGCTAGATGGCTCCACTTCTTCTGCCCTGTCGAGCCCCTCAGAGTTACAGAGCTGCCAGCCCCTCTGCCCCTCTCGGCTCTGCAATTGCCAGATGTCAGGCCTCCGACTCAACCCCATCATGGGCTGGAATCACTCAATCCACCCACACTGAGCCCAGGCTCTGGCCTACAGCACACTGAGGGTCGACTGGGCTTCCCAGCACAGTCCAAAAGGGTTCAGCACCTCTGGTTCCTCCGTTTGAGAGCCTGCTGGGAGTAGTGGGGAGACGTGACCAGCCAGGCTTCTAGAACCTAAATACTGAGCAATCCGAACAGCAGAAATCAAGCGAAACATGGGAGAACAGGAGGGTTTTCAAACAACAGTCAGACGAGGTCTCTGCTCCCAGACCATCCCACTCTGACAGGGACCCAGGCAGGCCGAGGGCCTTCAGCCGTCCCCAGAGTTGTCTCTGCTTGTCAGTCTGAAGAGTTTCTCCGCAACAGCTGCCCTGCCTGTTGACAAACCCCCAGCACTGGCAGAACAAGCTGGGTAACATGGCTGGAGCCCGGAAATAGGCTTTTTCATATGTCAGAGGAGGGGAAGTACCGGCCAGTGGGGTGGATCCGCTACACCACGGTTTGCTCCTGGTGGGGCCTTATCCCTATATTTAACTGCACAGCCGCCGGTACAAGCGATTGCTGCTCTTAGTGGTGTGGATCTCTGTTGCCTGTGAATGGAGATGCAGAATGTGGTGTCCCGGCCCATAAGAATGTAAGAACAGCCGTACTGTTTCAGATCAACAGTCCATCCACTCCAGTGTCCTGTCTCCCAACAGTGGCCAATACCAGATGCCCCAGAGGGAGGGAACACAACAGGTAACCCTCAAGTGATCCATCTCCTGTCACCCACCTCCAGACAAAAAGAGGCTAGGGACACTGTTCGTACCCATCCTAGCTAATAGCCATTGATGGCCCTAACCTCCATGAATCTATTTAGCTCTTCTCTGAACCCCACCAAAGTCCTAGCCTTCACCACATCCTCCAGCGAGGAGCTCCACAGGCCGACTGTGCTGAGTGAAGAAAAACTTCCCCTTGTTTGTTCCAAACCTGCTGCCTATTAATTCCATTTGGTGACCCCAGTCCCTATACCTTGGGAACAAATAAATAACTGTTCCCCATTCACTCCCTCCATACTAGTCTTGATTCCACAGACCTCCATCCTATCCCCCCACTAGTCTTTTCTTTTCTAAGTTGAAAAGTCAAAGTCTTTTTATCTCTGATTAAATGGGACCCGTTCCAAACCCCTCATCGTTTTTGTTGCTCTTTTCTGAACCTTTTCCAAGGCCAATATATCTTTTTGGAGATGAGGAAACCACATCTATACACAGTATTCAAAATGTGGGTGTACATTGGCTTTATATAGAGGCAAGTAAATATTCTCTGTCTTATTCTTTATCCCTTTTTTAATGTTTCCTAACATTCTATTTGCTTTTTTTCCTGCCACAGCACACTTAGAAGATGTTTTCAGAGAACCATCCACAATGACCCCAAGATCTCTCTCTTGAGTAGTTGTAGCTAAATTAGTTCCCATCATCTTATATGTATAGTTGGGATTATTTTTTCCAATGTGCATTACTTTACATTTATCAATATTAAATTTCATTTGCCATTTTGTTGCCCAGTCTCTTAGTTTGGTGAGATCTTTTTGAAGCTCTTCACGGTCTGCTTGGTCTTAACTATCT